AATGTATTATTTCTTATCATTTTTTTGTTAAAACTTATTATTACCTTGATATTGCAGTGTTTTCAGTAGGTAGGTATTACAAGTAATACAAATATTTTAAAATTTGTGTGAAGGTGTAATTAAAATCATTAAATAGCAAATCACGTAGATATTTTTAATATTATTTCACGGTAAACCGCCATCCAAATTTGTATGCTGACTACATGGAGTACAAATAAATACATAATACATAAAAATATAAAAATACATATGACCACAAGGGAATACATGAAAATATATAGGAATACATAAGAAAGCTTAAAAATGGTTTCATCTTGTCTGAATCAGTTAAGTAGTAGTATAATGATGAAATATTAGCTCTAATTGAATTGTTTCTTGATATTTTTATGCTTTTACTCCAGTGCACTTAAGAAATGGTATAATGCTTGACCTCAACAAATTAGCTTAAATCTGCCGCCACTCGTGTTCGATACTTTTCAGTGTCCCTATAAACATACTAAAAGTCCTGTTGCTGTGATTGGTACAACATCCCCAAATCCAGTCTGCCATCTACATTTTTCGTCCTTTTATTAAATTTCTACTAATATCTCGAACACTGTAAGGTTTATCAGAAATTGTCAGGAGACAAAAAAGTTTTTAAATATGTTTTTTTCTGTAAGGGCGATGAAATATAACAACGTTCAAAAACTGTAGTAGTCTCTGCGGACCTCCACATATCCAAAATATTACACTTAGGTACCTATGCCATTTCGGCTAACTATTTTTGTTAATATTTATATACATATACAGCTCTTTTGACGTATATGGACATGAAATGCAAGCCATTGTCTAATGTTCCAACAGACGGAGTTTCCTAATAGATGGAGGTTACATACTTCACAAAGTTGTTTGGCAAATACCATCCACCTATGCAGAGATTTTTGAGCAATATGAAAAGTCCTTCCAGTTTCATTATGGTTCAAATTGTACAGTGGTTTTTGATAGGTATGATGGTTTACCTAGTACTAAATCTTTCGAACAAATGCGGACAACTAATAAATTATCTTGTGCTGATATTGTAATATCTGACTCAGTAGCTGCAACAGTAAATCAAGAAAAAAATTTCAGTAACACCAACATTAAAAAAATGTTTATTGAACTCTTAATAGAAAGCCTTTTGTCATAATATGTTATATTATAACATAAGTGTAAAACAAGCAGAAACAGATGCAGACGTTTTAATTGTCCAAACAGCTTTGAATTTAAGGGAAAAGGAGACTTCTGTGACAGTTGTTGGAGAAGACACGGACTTGATGGTGATGCCATTTTGTTAAAGATAACAACGTTTTTATGTTACAGCCCGGAAACCAAAGTCAAGCAATTAAAATTACCGAAATTTTACTTTTCCAAGAATCATTAGGGTCAGTAGTAAGTGAAATTTAATTTATTCATGCAATTGGCGGTTGTGATACCACATCTGCAGTGTACAAACAACGAAAATTAAAGCCTATCAAAGTTCTAGCAGGCAATAAAAATAAAACTATTCACTCATTAATTTCTGTTTTCCAGAATTTAAAGGCAGATAAGAAATAATTAAGACTCTTACTTGTAAACAGCAAAACTAAAATATCTAAGACACCTAATGTCTTAATATTCCATAAATACAACTACATTACAGCCCGTCAAAGTTTAAAATCAACTTGCTACTCTTCCACCTACATCAGATGCAGCCAAATATCACTGCTTAAGAGTCCAAATACAACAACAACAATGGTTAGGAAATAATCCTAATCTTCTAGAATTTGGTTGGGAATGATTCGGCAAAATTCTTAGACTTAAAACAATGGATTCTCCTGTTGCTCTCATATTGCAACTGTAAGAGTGGGCGCAAAAAATCTTGTATTTGCAAAAAATCGAACATCTTTTGCTCAAATTTGAGTGGTCAATGTAATAGAATCTCCTGTCAAAATATTCCTAGTATTATTCTTGACGAAACGAATGATTCTGAATAGAAGTATGTATAAATGATGAAGATATGTATAGATATCTACACTTTTCATGAATACAAATAAAATCAAAATTAGTTAGCTAGTCATAACTTTTTTTTGCTACATTAATAATATTTGTATACCATACTTAAATAAACTTATGAATATAAGAGAGTTGATCATTTTGTCCCAGAATTAATTTCACAGTACCTATTTTGTTTCTCTTGACTTTTTCCTAATTTATTTCGTTTTTTAATTTTCTGTTAAAAAAATGTCAATAATAAAAATGCATGGCCGCGCGGGCTTGTTTTCGGAGAGTTACACCCTGGAAATAAGAACTTTTCTTAGGTATCAAACATTTTAGGTAATCTGAAATTTTTCAAGGAACCAGGAATGTGTTGAGTAGGGCTCAGACCTATTTCAAATCCAGTTCTCTTGAACTTTTTTCAAATTCCTATTTGTTTCTAAGATATTGAAGCAAACTAGGAAAAAGTGCAAAAAATCAAGTTAGTTTGGGTTTGGATTTGGGGATGTGCCACCAATCACAGCAATGGGGACTTTAAGTATGCTCATACGGACCTAAAAGCTATTGAATCATGACGGTGGTAGCTTCAAGCTATTTTTTTTACCCCTGACCCCTAATTGCACTGGACTATTTTGTTAATTTTCTTCAGTGGCCTAGACGATGTTCCTGCATTAATCATGTTATGTTTTAAATCTAGTATCAGCTGTTTGTCACCATCTACTATTTCAAATAATTCAGGTTTTGATTAAAAAATACTGGAAAAATGCTCTCCCCAAAAGCACAATGTTTGTTTTTAGCAAAATTTTATGTGTTTTCAATGAATTTTGTGTCAGTTTTTCTTAGGGAAATTTTATTGTCATATCTATTATACCCTAATGCCCGTATTACATCTGTGTATCTTTCCGTGGATTTATTCATGTAGTTCAGGGGGACAAGTTAACAGAAAAACTTGAAACGCAACATAAATCAGCAAACAAAATAATGTTGGCACTCTGTACTACCCCATAAATACCCGGAAAAATACACAGATGCAATATGGGCATGATAATAGAGATAGGTAATGAATGAGGCAATTCAAAATTGAGTTCTGACAGAATTTTGTTTATTTTTACTATTCTTTTGTTGACCATAGCAAAATATAATGGATTTATTACTTTTTTACCTTACAGAAACAGGCAAGTGGTTTCTTAAAAAAACATTAAGCTAGGATGTTTTGGTGGATAATATTTGTGTTTTTGAATATACCTATTTTTATGTATTAAGACCTAACATTTCCGAACATACCTAACTTCTAGAACATCGCATTAAAAACTTTGTAAAGCTTCAGAATGCGCTAGCGTCAAGTTAGAACATTTTTAGGCATTTTAAGACGCTCTAGATTAATTTAAAACCTTGATAAGCTTCAGAAGAATTATAATTCAATTTTCAATCCTCCTGCGTTTGTTTGAGACAAATTGGAATCTTCAAGAACATTGTAAAACGTTACAGAACAGTTTAGAACCAATTCAGAATTTGGGAGACATTCTAGAACAAACCAGGACAATTCTGAACTTTGGCAACATTTTAGAAAGTTTTTGGATTACTCTAGAACACTTAAAAATCATATGAAACTCTTGGAAACAATCTAGAACTGGAAACTTTAAGGATATCTTGAAAATTGTTACATGATTCTTTAGAACTAACTACTATAAACTTCCATGAACATATTAGAACACTGTTACACACTTCTGAACTTATTTAGAATTTCAATTAGAACCAACAAAAAGCGCTTAAGAATATTTGGGAAATTTTTGATAACCTCTAGAAAATTCTGGAGCTTCATGAGCATTAGGCAACCAATTGAAAACTTTAGAAAGCATTTGGAAAAGCTTCAGAATGCGCTTGTGTTGATTTGGAACATTTTTAAGCATTTTGAGACGCTCTAGAGCACTTCAGAATAAACTTAAAACTTTGATAAGCTTCAGAAGACCTTCAATTCAATTTTCAATCCTCCTGCATTTGTTTGAGACAAACTGGAATTTATAAGAACATTGTAAAACGCTACAGAACACTTTAGAATCAGATTAAAATTTCAGAAACATTCTAGAACGAACCAGAATATTTCCGAACTTTCAGGAACATTTACGAAAGCGTGAGATACTTTAAAATTTAGGTTCAGATCCAAATTAAAATTTCCAGGAGTATTTTGGAACGCTCTAGAACACTCTACAAATCATATGGAACTTTTGGAAACAATTTAAAACTGGAAACTTTTAGAATATCTTGAAAATCGTTACATAACAGTCATAACACTTTAGAACATTAAAAACCTACATTTGAGACTCAATCATCTAAAGTCAACATCAAAACAAGCACTTGAACCCAGACCATTTTTGGTGTAGCTACATTCTTGTCTGAACACTTTTTTTGCTGGAAATACTCCTAATTTCAATAGAAGCCAGATAGCTTAGCCAAAACATGTTAAATTTTAGCTCCTATTACTCTTTAGCAGGTTATTTTTCCTTTAACTGATAAATAAATTAATCCAACTATTATGATTGAAATTTTCCTAAAGATAGATATTGATAACCCCTTTCTATTATTACCTACTAGTTCAATTTTAAAACAAAAACATATTTGTACTAAACATACAAAGACTCTCAATGAGCGGTCTTTCTTTATTTTCTGAAGGTTTAGTTAGGAAAATATGACTAAGAGGTAACTTTAGCTCAAAAAAAACGTATTGTACATGTAGGGGGTTTAACAAGGTACTGGTTAGAATAAAACATTATCTTTCAGGCAGAGGCAGGAGGCAGGTATGAAATAGTATATACCTCTAGGTACATATGCGCTTAAATAAAAAAATAGTTGTATAGAGTTGAGTAAAAGTGATTAGTAAATTTTGTAAAGATAATTCCTTCAATAAAAGTTGTTGTAAAGAGAGTTTTACTAAACCTGTGAAATCCCTGACAATAGAAACCACAAAGAAACAAAATCTCGTGCTCCAAATTTGAATTCTTGATTTATAGGCAGTCAACTTACACGGTTTAGAAGCGGATCGTCACCTGTTCCAATGTTTGTATAACTCGGTGGACTTTGCGGAGAACTCAAGCACAAAGGCCCAAGTACTCTTAGAACAAAGCTGTCGAATACTAAACACCCCCGCACTATTAACCATCATCTGCTACATAACCAATCACCCATTGATCAACGAAAAAGTGAGAATTCTAATAACCATTATTCAATTGGATTAATACAAATTTTATTTAGAACCTCAAATTAGGCCCACAGTTTTTTGTACGGTTTAGCAAGTGCCTCCGACTATCCTCTGTACAAGAGGTACTTTTTGCCCTTGTCCTTAGACACTCTTCTGTGCCAGAAATCGCCAGTGCCGCTCACGCCCACCTCAGGACAGCTGTCCCCCAAATAGTACGCTCTTATATTGGTAAGAATTTTTACAATTAACGTAATTTTATTTTGAAACAACTTTTTTTAGACACAGGAGGCAGTGGCCGTCACTACGAAGGAGGCCTCCACGAAGCCAGCCCTGAACTTTTACATTTTATTGTCTCTTCAATACTAGAGGCACCCAAAGAAGTTGGTCTCACAAACGACATTCATTCTACTTTTTTAAATACTTTACAAAAAGGCTTCCCCAAAGATCAACTACCTGTTGTGTTAGCCCCATTAGTGTACCCCGAACAATTTGAACTTTATTCAGAAATGTCTTCTGACGGATCTGGGTTATCTGCAGGGATGATAGATACACCCCTTGCAGATATAGTCAAAGATTTATCTTACGGATTTACATCTAGTTTGGAAGAATGTAGAAATGCTATAATAAAATTAGGTGGAAGGGATATAGCACCTTCTACTGTAGCCAGAGTTTTGGCTGTAATGTGTCGCACCCCCAATGGCTTAGATGACAGTATAGGCAATTTCAATAATCAAGAGTCTAGATCTGCTTGGAACACTGAAATATTTGTACAATCCCTAAAAGAAGTTTCACCGTCCTTACAATGGAACAACGTTGTAGGCGAATTAGACCATCCTGAATTCCTAATAAAAGACAGGACAGGATTGTGTATTCTAATAGGCGCCCTGAGACAGGGCCTGCAAGCCTTGGGATTTCATCCTGACAACTTCCCGGTCGAATATTTCTACAAACGCTGGTCGAATTTAGAAGGTCAGTTCAGCCTAATACAACAGCTACTCAAAAATCCCGACGTATTTTGTTTCGGCGACTACCCTTGCGCCTCTGTAACTGTAGACGTCTTGAAAACGCCTCCCGAACATGACGGCAAAGAACTGTCCAACTGGCGGTCGCTGAATTTGATTGAACTTTTGCTAAATATGTCTGAAATTGGATTGTATAGTCCTGTTCAGGAGCTGTTCAAGGCGCCTATGCACAGGTAAGGATTTGTTGCTATTTTTTCCAAATTAAAACTACTCGACAATAATAATTGTCAATCAAAAAAAAATAATCCTCTAAAATATCAAAAATACAATATTGAGCATTTATTACAGTTGCCCAGACGTACTGGTACTAGCCCTCCTGCAAATAACCGGCCCGGTAACAATGCTGAGGCAAGACTTACTGACAAACTTGATCCCGATTTTCCTGGGCAATCATCCCAATTCTGGGATCTTGTTACATCACGCCTGGCACACTCAGAATATCAACGTCAAACCGGTGATAATGCACGCAATGTCTGAATGGTACACCAGAGGAGAGTGCGACCAGACGCGGTAAGATACTTTTCATATTGAAGATGTTTTAACCATAATTCGTCTAATATTGAACAAGTCATCGCCAAACTTATGATTCAAAAATACTACATATCAATCTTTTATAGGTTATCTAGGATTCTAGATGTTGCTCAGGATTTGAAAGCTTTATCGATGCTTCTAAACGCCCAATCTCCTCAGTCGTATCCCTTTATCATAGACTTGGCTTGCTTGGCATCCAGAAGGGAATATTTGAAATTGGAAAAATGGTTGTCTGATAAAATTAGTGAACACGGAGAGGCTTTTATATCGGCTTGCGTGAAATTCTTGCACCGAAGGTGCCCGCCTATGGGAAAAGAAGATCCTCTCACCAAACCTGTGCCTTTGCCAGTCGAAACTCTCACCACACTGATTTTATGCTTACAACCTTGCATGTCTAGCGTGAGCCCTGAATGTCAAGAAGCCATTATTAACGTCCTCAACAATTGCTCCATGGTATTGAAATCCAGACAGCAAAGCAGCAATGCTTTGATGAGAAATAGGGCTATGGATGCCGGGATAAATCCGTCGTTATTCGCTGGGCAGCTTTATAGCCATGCAGGAGTTGATATACAAAATTTGGGAAATAGTTTATCGAATATGACATTGGCAGGGCCTAGTAATAATGCATTCAATCTTCAAGGAGGATTGGGGCCATTGGTGCAATCTCCTGGATCACCTTCTAGGTTACTTGGAGGTACATCGAATAGTCCTTTTCCGATTATACCTATGCAGCATCAGGGCCCTGTCGGCACTGGTTCTTCTCTAGTTCTCGGTGTCAACCAAATTGGAAACTTAGGCCGGATCGGTCCAGCAGCTAATATGGAAAAATCACGAGTGCCAGATTATAATTTGTTTCCTGAAGGAACCGGGCATATAACAAAAGAAATTGAAGACGAAGCTAATGTTTACTTCCAGAGGATTTACAATCATCCGCCTCATCCCACATTGTCCATCGATGAAGTTTTAAATATGCTCAAACGTTTCCAGGACTCGCAGAGCAAAAGGGAAAAGGAAGTTTTCAACTGTATGCTCAAAAGTTTGTTTGAGGAATACAAATTCTTTCCGCAATATCCGGACAAAGAGTTGTACGTAACCGCTCAACTTTTCGGCGGCATCATCGAACGCGGCATCGTGGCCTCATACGTGACATTAGGACTTGCCTTGAGGTTTGTTTTGGAAGCCCTTAAGAAACCAGAAGGCTCCAAAATGTATTATTTTGGTATTGCTGCCTTGGACCGATTCAAAAGCCGACTTAAAGAGTATCATAAATATTGTGAGCATGTCAGAGGGATTCCACATTTTGGGTAAGTCGATGTACAATATAGTTTTGTACGGGGGACTTTGTAGTGCTTGCCAACTTGTGAAAAATCCTTCCAAATAATATCCCATTGAAATTTTAGTATAACTTGCTCCTAGTTATTTATTAACCAACAACATATGAATGTGTGTATGAATGGAAAGGAGTAGAAACCATAGAATAGAAATACAATATGTCATTAGAGCTGCAATGATAAGAGTATGCACTCGAAAGGGTGAAATAGCAAGAACTATAGAATCATTAAAACAGAAAATGGTCTATCTTTATATGCTCTAGAATTTTTTCAATTGAAAGATTAAGAAGTTAAAATAAAGTAGCATTTGATAAAATGGTTTATTATAGGTTTTGGTGTGAAATATATTTGTAAATAAATCCTGTTGAAAACTTTTCCATTTGATTTTATATTTTTTCAGTGATTTTCCACCCCACTTACAAGAATACGTCGAATATGGACTTCAAGGTATGGAACCGCCAACAAAACCAGAAGGTCCAGTAATACCAGTTAGCTTAGCAGTCATGGTAGTTCCACCTCCTGCCCAACTACCTACTTCCGCTCAAGTCTACAAAGGCAACCCACCGAGCGTTTCTAGTTCAAGTTCTAACAAATCTAGTTCGACTACGACCACCTCTTTGGGAAGCAGACCTTCCATAGCTAACGCTACTAACATAGACACCTTATTGGTGGCCACCGAAAAAGAAGAGAAAGCTATCGCCCCTCCGGAATCGCTACAAGACAAAATAGCTTTTATTTTCAACAACTTAAGCTTGCTTAATTTGAAATTGAAATGTGACGAATTACGCGAACACATTTCCGACGATTATTATCCGTGGTTGTCACAGTATTTGGTTATGAAGAGGGCTTCCATTGAGGTGAATTTTCATAATTTATACTCGAATTGCCTTGATACGCTCAGTATAAATGAACTCTACATTATGGTTGTCAGAGAAACATTCAGGTAAGGATTTGTGTTTATTATAAGGTCATGCTTTCTTGTAATTACACCTTTTACAACAGTATTTAAGAAAGAATCAGTTTGATTAAGGAAAGTATTATGTGTATTTTAGAATAAACGTTTGTTTTTTTAGAAAAATCCATATGTATTTTAGATTTTTCAAATGTATTTGCGAAATATTCAAAAAGTATTTTAAAAGTAAGAAATGTATTATTGATGATATCCAAAGTATATGTCGAATTTTGGGCACTGTCACCTCAGACCAAAAAAAAATACGGGGCATTCTTCATAATGTTGTAATGTAAGTGGGAGGATCAGACGACGTCATTACTGCTTCAGCAAGTAGTGCATATTCTTTACACGAATCTCTTCAGAATCATACACAAATCTCCTGTTAAAATTTCATAAAAATCTATCAAACCGTTTAGAAGTTACAGGTGTGTGTTTCTGAGGTCCCCACGAATTTTCCACTGTCCGTCAACGTGTTAAATACATGCATATGGTTTGATCTGAAATACAAATGACTGTTTTCTAAGTTAACTTGGTAATTCAAAAATTCATTTGCTGCTTTCTTAAATCAACATTACATTACATGTGAGCATTTCCAAATTTAAATGGTTATTCCAAAATACAAATGATGCTCTCTAAAACATAATTATTTATTCCATTATTCATGTGGGGATTTCCTAAATACAAATGAGTATTCTAAAATACTGTGCAAAAGAAAAATGGCACTTTCAAGCCTACATGTAAAATTCCTTAGATGCCAGAAACAAGACTAGATTATGTATTTTTGTTGATTAAATAAATGTCTATAATATTTGTCTTATTTTGTCTCTTCCAGAAATATCCGTGTATTATTGAGGTCTGACAAAGCAATAGCCAATTTTTCTGACAGATCCCTGTTGAAAAACCTTGGCCATTGGTTGGGCTTACTTACTTTAAGCCGTAGCAGACCAATTTTGCAACTCGAGTTAGACTTGAAGTCTTTATTGGTAGAAGCTTACCATAAAGGCCAGCAAGAGCTGCTTTACGTTGTGCCATTTGTGGCTAAGGTAATTTAAAAAAAAAAAACAACTTATTTTGCTTCATTTGGAAAAACTGATTTATTTGTAGGTGTTGGAGTCTTGTGCAAAAAGTAAAGCGTTCAAGCCTCCAAATCCCTGGACTATGGCATTGATGAGCGTGCTGGCAGAACTTCATTCCGAATCCGACTTGAAGTTGACTCTCAAATTTGAAATCGAGGTTCTGTGTAAAAACTTAGAAGTGGACGTTACTACGTTGAAACCATCTGTTTACCTGAAAGATCCCGAACGAATTAAAAAAATCGAATTCCAGTTATCGCAACCTATCAAAAAGGAATTGTCTCAATCCTCTCACACGTCTCAGAGTGTGAATATGACTGAACCTGAATTGGTTAACATTATACCTGCGCCAACCACTAGTTCGCCTGTTATGCAAAATATGAGCACCACACCGACATCTTCTATACCGTTGTTGCCTGAACCTCGTTTCAGCTACAGCGAGATACAAATCAATGGGATGCAAGCTTTACAATCGCACACGGTAATTTCACCCAGTGCCGTTTTGTTCCAATCTCAACCCCAACTGAAACCACTTGCTAAAACCGCTATTGAACGGGCAATCCAGGAGTGGATTGTGCCGGTACTGGAACGTTCCATCAAAATTGCAGTTCAAACTTGCGAAAATATCATCAGGAAGGATTTCGCTTTGGAACCTGATGAGGAACGAATGCGTCTGGCAGCACATCACATGGTAAGTTTAATTTTTTAAGCCTTTGCTTCATAGTTTTGGTTGAGTCAGATCAGAATCGGAAAATGCTTTATTGTGCATTTGGTTTGGTCCTTTTGACTTTGATTTTTGAAAACTTTGAATAATCATAAGTTTTTTCTATTATAATAGAAAGCTGAAATTTTCAGCGTTTCTTATCCTAGTAGAGGACTACAAACCCTGAAAATTTCAGCTCATTTGGACTTATCAGCAACTTTTTCTAATTTCCAGGTCAGAAACCTAACAGCTGGTATGGCAATGATCACTTGCCGCGATCAACTTTTATCCTCAATCAACACTCACATGAAGCAAGTTTTAACTGCCAACTTACCCACACCGACGATTCAACAAAAAGAAATGATGGATCAGGCCGCAAACCTCGTGGCCCAAGACAATATGGAATTAGCGTGTACGGTAGTGCAAAAAACTGCTGTTGAAAAGGCAATCCCCGAAATCGACAAAAGACTAGCTAGTGAATATGAGCTACGAAGAATTGCCAGAAAAGAAGGAAGATGTTATTGTGATGGCCAAGCTTTAACATATCAAGCCGAAAGAATGCCCGAACCAATAAGACTCAAAGTTGGTGGAGTAACTGCCAATCAGATGGCTGTATACGAAGAATTTGCCCGTAATATTCCAGGATTTTTACCCAATGAACGCGACGCTGCTATTCTTATGCAGAGCCAGACTTTAAATATTGATCCTCAACCTCACCCAGCTACGCCATTCCCCATCAATCCCGCGGTTCTGGCTAGCGACGAAATAACTCTAGTATTTGACAAGTTTATTATTGAAGTTGAGCAGTTTGTTCAGTTGACTAGCTCACAGGCTCAATACTCTATGATGAACGCCAGTCTGATTCGAGTCCGAGATTGTTTGGTACACTTTTTGCGTACCAGAGATGTTTCTCTGAGTCCTCCACAAACACTTGTTCAGAAATGTGTGGAATCTTTGCAAGACTGTTTGGTTCCAACTTTGAGCGACTCTGATCCCGTTGTATTGCGATTCAAAGAACTTATTGTTAAGATATTGAAGACCCTGCAAAGTAAGTTTGGACTTTATCTGTAAATTGTGTGGCAGTTGTGATATGTTTGATATGTTTCTTAGATATCTTCAGTCAACAATGGACTGGCAAGCTGGTCACTAGATACTTAACGGAATGCCGCGAGGAACAGCAAAGATACAACTTTGACGCAGTAGATACTTTAATCAAATCTGGATTGGTTAATGTTCAACAGTATGACTTGAGTTTGGCTCAATGTCTAGAGAACGGTTTCAATTATATTGGAGTGACTTTTGCTATTCAATTAGTCGACCATTATCTCATTAACAACAGGTAGGTGAAGTAGTGTTTAGGCTGTAAGGATAAATTCTACTAGCAGACTTATAAATTTGAAGTTACTTATCTCAAAAATGTATTGTTTTTTTTAAGATCCGGTCAATATGTTATGGAGAGTGACCTGAACACCATTGTAGATGTCCTGACCAAAATCCACGCTCACAGCAGAACAGTCGCTCCCGAAGGTTTGGCCAGTTTGATTGAAATGTTGAGGCAACAAAATCAGGACCCCTTATATTTTGGTGACAGAGTTCCAATGGGACCCACCGTCCACATTCATACTGGCATCTTACAGGTTTGTTTATTGAATATACATACGCATAATGGCATAAAATTCATATATTTTTTCAATAATTTTATCTCTTTTGGACAACACTAAAATCTAATCTAATAGTGAAATGCTAATTTCATAATGAGGCTTTCAGTCAGTCAAGGATTAAAAGTAGCCCGCGTTTTTGAAAATTTCTATTGAATTTGTGGGTTTTTGCGAGTTATTATGATAGTTTTTGTGTTTACCTAACTACACGAAAGATATATATTTGTTTTAACCTTCAACAGCACCTGAGAAATTTTCCAAAATTGACACTGAGACAGTTGTTGCCTCACAGTTCTGTTAATTCAATCTTTACCGAAAAATTTATAAAACGAACCTGTTAATTGAGATTTTAATTTGGTTCCAACAGTTTTGCACCCGAGAAGCTTCATAATTGAATAAAATAAATTAGATGTTTCCCTTGTAGCATTTGATATTATATTTTACAAAAATTGTTCTAGGTCAGAGCACCAAATTATGAAGACCCACCAGGTTTAATGGAAAAAACCGATTTCCTATTACGTGAATGGATCACCATCTACAATAGTTCTCAGCACCAAGGCCGGGATTCGACTAAAAACTTCAGCATGTTCGTTCATCAAATGAACGTGCACGGAATTCTGAAAACTGATGATCTGATCACCAGATTCTTCCGACTCTCAACTCAATTGTGTGTGGAAACTTTTTACCGGGCATTCTCGGACAAGTCCAACCCAAATAACTTGTCCTTGGCAAGGCCAAAATGCTACCACACTTTAGACGCTTTTGTGCGTTTGGTAGCTCTACTTGTGAAGCATTCCGGAGATTCTTCAAATACTTCAACCAAAGTGCAGCTATTGAATAAAGTATTGGGAATTGTGGCCGGTTGTCTATTGCAAGACCACGACAACAGGACTGTGGATTTCCATCAGATGCCTTACCAGCGCATTTTTACTATGCTGTTCTTGGAACTCAACGCTCCAGAACCCGTCTTGGAATCTCTTAATTACCACGTTTTGACAGCTTACTGTCACACTTTCCATATTCTTAGACCATCGAAGGCTGCAGGTTTCTGCTACGCTTGGCTTGAATTGATTTCACATAGAGTTTTCATCGGAAGAATGCTAGCGACGGCTTCTCAGCAAAAATGTTGGCCCCTCTACGCTCAACTGTTAATTGACCTGTTCAAATATCTAGCGCCGTTTTTGCGCAATGCCGAACTAGCAAAACCCGTGACGATGTTGTACAAAGGCACTCTGAGAGTACTTTTAGTGCTTTTGCATGATTTTCCTGAATTTTTATGCGATTACTACTATGGTTTTTGCGACGTTATACCTCCCAATTGTATTCAAATGCGAAACCTAATCTTGTCCGCTTTCCCGAGGACAATGAGACTTCCCGACCCGTTTATTCCCAACCTTAAAGTAGACATGTTGCCCGAGATTTCATATGCTCCGAGAATCCTTTCGAATATCGCCCAATTGATTCAACCGACTACTTTCAAGAAGGATTTGGATTCTTATTTGAAGGCCAGGGCACCAGTTACCTTTCTGTCCGAGTTGAGGAGCAATTTGCAAGTGTCCAACGAACCGGGCATTCGGTACAATATTTCATTGATGAATGCGCTGGTTTTGTATGTGGGTACGCAGGCGATTGCTCACATAAGAAACAAGGTGAGAATTTTTGAGTTTAAGTAAGTTTTTGAAGTGCAAACTTCTTATTATAATATTATAGGGTCATTCCCCGAGTATGTCAACAATAGCTCACAGCGCCCACATGGACATTTTCCAAAACCTCACCGTAGATCTTGACACTGAAGGAAGATACCTTTTCTTCAACGCAATGGCGAACCAGCTGAGATATCCCAACAGTCACACTCACTATTTCTCATGTACTTTCCTTTACCTATTTGCCGAAGCCAACACCGAAGTAATACAAGAACAAATAACAAGAGTATTATTGGAAAGACTTATTGTCAATAGGCCGCATCCCTGGGGGCTTTTAATAACATTTATCGAACTGATCAAGAATCCCACCTACAAGTTTTGGCAGCATCAGTTCGTACATTGCGCTCCAGAAATTGAAAAGTGAGTAAAAGTGATTTGGGAATCAGTTGATTATAAATTTGGTTTTTAGATTGTTCGAGTCGGTGGCTCGTTCCTGCTTTGTGAAAACATCGATTCAGCAAGAAGGCGAGTTGCAAGAGTAGCCATCATTCTCAATTCACAATGCGAAGTTGTATCAATATTTGTACCGGATGATTACGAAAAAGATGCGTTTGATTTATTAGACTGTGGGGTGTATCGTTTTGATATATTTTGTATATATAATAATATGATTTCATTATAAAATGTACATCTCGTATGTGTATAATTGTTAATAATATGGTTTTCTTGGAAAATGCAACTTGTTTTATTTATTTATGATAGTTTACCCAGATAGCATAGAGGGACTTCATAAGAATCGTGCACTTTGTGCAAAGTCTTTTAAATTTGGTATAGTCTTAGGTTTTAGGAAACAATTGCAAGCAACTTGTGCGTGGCCTCTAGTGGCCTGCTGGCTATAAATCTAATATGGTCGCCATCTGTATTGGTATTTTTGAGAGATGCTCTTCTATACAACTTTTTATGGGTTAACAATTATCATTCTTCAACAGTCCACATATAATTGGTTCGGTGTTGCCGCAGTCTTTGTAGCTCTCACGCTGAAAGACTTTGAACCGTTGGGTTTGGACAGTACAAACTTTTCAGTGCCAAATTTCAGGATGTTGAGCTGATTATCGAATGAAAAACCATGTTGACTGATCAAGTCCATACCCAAAATAAGCTCATCCCCTATATCAGCAATCAGCCCTTTGTGACAGATCTTGATATTTCCAAATCTCAGGTGAATTTCTGTTTCTCCATGCTCATTTGTGGTCTCTCCAGTATTTTTTTTTTGCATTGTCATTCCATAGTTGCCAAGATATTCATGAAGGGAAAATTGGAAAAACCCTTCTTCACGTTTCTTTGGTATATTCTGTATATTAAAGCTTGCGCCAGTTCACGAGCAGAGCGTTTGTAATTAAATTAGGTGGGCGCGCCGTGGGCGGTACTCCGACTTACCAATAGTATTGCTAATCCTAGTGAACTATTCTAGTGAAAAGTTCCTAATTTAATTGCATTCGCTCGTCGCTTCAAGGCGGCTCGAAATATATTGGCAACCTATGGTGTATGGGTCGGTGTTTAACGGGGTTGTGTGGGTCGAACTTGAGGGTAGCAAGGTTTGCGGTCAGGGTGGGTCCATATGCGGAACGGCTGAAGAATTTGATTGAGACTTCATTGAAGTATTCGAGGATGGTGTTTATACCAGCAAGTTGATGCACTTCAGCTGGTCGAGTGTCCATTGGCAAGGAAAGTGCGTTTTTTAGAATTTTTTTTTGGAATACTTGGAGCTATTTCTTCTCGCTGTTGGATATGAAGCTCCAAGCAGGTGCTCCGTAGAGCAAAGTTGGACGTATTATGGTCTTGTAGATGCTGATTTTATTTTTAAGGCTCAGAAAAGAATTGGTCTTCATGATGTGGGACAGAAGACGCTCGGCGATCTGTGCCTTTCTGAAGGTATGTGCTACCTGGGGGGTGGCCCCTGAGGGTCTTGTCAAGGACTATTCGCAGGTACTTGGCAGTGGTTTTGGGTTCAATAATTGTGATCGTCAGAGGAGGGTTCATGATAATGTTTGTACGCTTCCTGGTAAGTGTAAAAAGTTCTGTTTTAGGGGTGTTGAGGGTGATTGATGTCTGTGTGAGTTCTTGTTGCGTCGGGTGTTTCGCTGTACACCCTAGCGAAGTGGTCAGCGAATATGTTTGCTTTATCCTGTTCCCTGTAGAAGCTGACTCCATCGACTACCAGGTCTGACTGTGTCGTGCCTGATTTTCGAAGATTTTTGGCCAGCTTCCACAGGGAGTTGTCTTGGGTCTCCTGAGAAGAGTTATACTTTATCTAGGTTGTGTTCCTGTGATGACGTACTCCCCTCTCTATCTACCGGCTGAGTAAGTTGAGTAATTGTTTGTCCAGTATGTTTGGGTGCCTTTGCCATGCACGCTTGACCCTATTCCTCTTCTTTATGAGTGCAACAACGGAGTCTGGTATTCTGTCCGTTCTTGGCTTGGGGGTGATTTTTGGAGCTAGCTGATCTCTGATTTGCGTAATTAGTGCTACTTGCCGCTCAAGTTTGGGTATGGTGGTTATGGGGTTGGGGATTGTTGTGGTGTTGTTCAGAAGTTGTTTGTAGAGTGTCCAGTTGAAGTTTTTGTAGCTGTGTATTTTTTGCGTTTCCTGCACTGGAGGGTTTTTCCAGTACAGGAAGAGCGGTATGTGGTCCGAGTTTAGAATGTTTTTAGTCTTAGTAGTCAAGTCTCTGAAGCCCCTCGAGAGAGCGATATCTATCGTGGAGGGGTTCAGTCCGTTAAGCGAATAGTGCGTAGGGTTATTTGGGTAATGTAGTGATATGTCCGGGTTGTCGCTTAAAAACTTGAAGAGTATTCTACCTGTCCTGTTGTTCGTGTGGTTGAGCCATGTTGTGTGCCTGGCATTAAGGTCCCCGTCTCCTATTTCTGGGAAGACCTTAATGTCGTGGGCGGTTCTCATCGTTTCTGGCCCCGAGATCCACAAACTGTTATCTATCTCCAGTGTTATGTGTTCTATACTGGTATTTAGGGTTGTGATTCGTTTATAGCTGATTTGTGGATCAGGCAGGCCACGCCTCCGCCTCTGCGATTTCTGTCCATTCGTTCTGTGTTGTAATGTTTGTGCTTAAGGCTGTCCGCTGGTAGTAGTTTTGTCTCGTTTAGAAAAATTAGTTTGGGACTGTAATGGTTCACGGCCTGATAAAGGTCTCCCCTCTTTGAGTTGAGACCATTACAGTTCCAGTCACTGTGCGCAGAATAACCTGCTTGAAAGTGGCTTTGCATTAAGCTTCTTGGCAATACTCGAATTTAGTAGGTATACCTACGTCTGCCTCTCTGTCCACTGTTATATATTATGTTATATCTTTTTCCCATTAATATTTCCTTCCATTTTCAATAGTCTGTCCGTAGGTTTTCGTAGCATTTTGATGGTTGTGATTCCAGGGGATTTATTTGCCCTAGTTAACACCCGCCTCTCCGTGTTGGGTAATTGTAGTTTTCCTGCATGCTTCCGAAGTATTTGTATTACGAGAAATCCAGACCGACCCACGGTCCATATATTGTGATATTAAAGTTGGTTTTCCTGGTTGCGTGATCTATCTGATTTTTAAAAAGGTTTAGCATACAATATCGCAGCGAAGTTAGATACAAGAATTAATCTAATAGATAATTTTGCTTATATCAGAAAAAGACCATTCTAGTTTCTAGTTCTATATTTTCCTACTTTTTACGTGATATTCAAGGAATAAGGGTTAGGGGCCCACAAACATATTTTGCCCTGAGGCCCACTCGTCCCTAGATCCGCCACTGTTCTGAAACCAATCTTCTTCCAATATCTTGGAGGTTGAGGTATTTGAGTACATCTTAAAACTAAAAAATAACCTTGGTACTGGGCCAGATAAAATACCTGTCATTTTCCTAAAGAATACAGCTTGTATTCTCACACCTGTCATGTAAAATTTACAATAAATCACTAACAAGTGGAATTTTTCCAGATTTTTGGAAGTGCAGCCATATTATCCCCATTTTCAAGAGTGGAGACCGGTCTAGTGTAGAGAACTACCGGGCAATATCCAAAATATCAACCATTTCTAAGGTGTTTGAATGCATTATTGCTGCACCATTGTTCAAAAATCTAATTTCTCCCCATCAGCATGGATTTATAAGGGCTAGGTCCACAGTCACTAATCTCCTCACTTATGAGAAACACCTGTTGGAAGCCTTGGAGAATCGTGAACAGATGGATGCTGTCTACACAGACTTCTCCAAGGCTTTTGACAGGGTGGATCATGGAATCCTGCTTTCTAAGTTTCGGGCCGTTGGTGTCCATTCCATTTTCCTTAGGTGGACGGAAAGTTATCTTTTCAGATGAAGACAAGCTGTAAAAATTGGTGATCATGTTTCATCCGAGATTGAGATCAACTCAGGTGTCCCGCAGGGTGGACATTTGTCTACATTATTCTTCAATATCTTTATTAAGGAGTTGGATATCTCCCTTGAAACTTCCCTTTCTCTCACCTATGCTGATGACGGCAAATTTTACAAAAAAATAAAATGTCAACAGGACTGTCTGGATTTTCAAAGAGACCTTGACAAGCTAGCTCAATGGTGTCATGAAAATAAATTGGCTTTGAATACAGATAAATGCAAAATTGTAACCTTTTCTAGAATTAAAAAAACCTATTCATTTCAACTACAAAATAAATAATTGTCAGTTAACAAGAGAAACCCATATTAAGGATCTTGAAGTATGGTTTGATACCGAGCTGAATTTTAATCACCATGTAAATGCTACAGCGAACAGAGTACTCAAACTCCTTGGTTTCATTTTCCGAACGTTGAAAGATTTTAACAACATAAATATAATTAAAAATGTGTACTGTTCGGTAGTACGATCTGTATTGGAGTATGCCTGCATTGTTTGGGCTCCCCACTACCAAGCTGGAAAAAGTTCAGAGAAAGTTTCTCAGACTTATTGCGTATTTACTTAGAATACCAAAAGATGAAATAAATTACAACGAATTGCAAAATCTTCTAAACATCACATCTCTATAAAAACGGAGAGAAAATTTTGACTTATGTTTCCTATTTAAGCTTTTAAATGGTGAAATAGATTGTGCAGAACTATTGTCTTCTTTCTGTTTTAATACAACTAGAAGATTGAGGAATAACAACCTTTTCTCTATTAATTTTCATAGCACTAATTATTGGTACTCTTCGCCTTTAAGTAGAATGGCCAGAAATGCCAACAAACTACCTGATAATATAGATTTCTCTATAAGTTATAATACACTAAAACGTAAGAGCTGACTGAATTATAATAATTTATGTTGTCTCTGTGACTTTTATCTTGTGATTTTAACTGTGTAGTCTGCTAATGTTTGCATAATGTGATATTTTTATCTTATATAAATGTTTTTAAACTAAATTTTTTTAACCATTGTTACTTTAACCTAGGCTATGTATCTGCATAGTGTGATATATTTATAAATGTATTTAAGTTGAAATTTTTTAACCATTGTAACTTTATCCTAAGCTAGGTATCTTTTGTGAATGACCATTGTTCATTAATGAAAATCTATCTATCTTTCGCATTTGTTCAAGAATTTCCTCTCTGTGTCTTCTATTTAACTCATTGGTTCTTTTTCCTTTCGTATTGATACAGCTCTTATATCTGGCATAGATATCAAATCTTTTATCCTGCTTTTAATTCTAGGGCTTTGATCAAGGCTTCGCTGCTACTTCATGGTTTGTTTACGAGCAGCGTTCTGTGTACATCCATATCTCGCACTTCATTTATAAAGTTTTCAGGGACTAGTTGTTCTCGCATTTCTGCTGCTGCTTCCGGATAGCCCAAATTAACCAGATGGCGGATGTCGGTTTCAAACTCTTGTAGGCTTTCTCAGCTTTTTGCTGCCACGTAATGCTACAATCAACCCTGTAGCCATGTCATAGGAATTTCAACTATTAGCCATTGCAGCAGCCTGGGATTCACATCTGTACATGGCCCACAATGTCTGTTCGTTATCATCATATTACTCTTATAATTAAAATAGTATTATGATATATTACTCAATCATATGTTATGACTAATAAAAGCCCATCTATTAAAAATACCAATAAAGATAGTGGCTATATTGGTTAAGACCATACCTAAGACTATACCAAATTTCAAAAATTTGGCACAGAGTGCATATGAATTTTCAATAATTCCACTTCAGCCAAAATGGAAATTTCGAATTAAAAGAACGTATCTTGTTTGCTACTAAAACTCAATTATGTATTTATATTACACAATAATTAATATTGATTTATGACTATAATAATAAAACAATCATTACTATACCAACACACATGCAATAATTTCAAATTAAAAATTTCAGAAATATATTAAACCTTGAATCTATTTATTCTAAATATCGATTATAATAATGTAAAGTTTGCCATCTTCAATTATAAAGCTACTTACTCTATAATACCTAAATAATTAAAAAGAAATATTAATATTCCCCTTCTTCAAATTCGTCTTGATAATTGTTACTAGTTCTGGCACCATTTGATTGTTCTTTTTCCGGCTGATACTTTTCTTCATTGTCATCTTCATATTTCACAGCGGCGTCATCAAATGTATGAGAATTATATGTTGTATAGTCATAATCTAGAAAATATAAAACAAATTAATAAAGGTTGATGAATAAATAGTAACTTACCATCAACAGGTTCTTCCTTAACTCTAATTTCACCACCATCGTCAGTTTTGATGTAATCCAATTTGCCCTCCTTTTCTCTTTCACGTCTCTCCCTTCTTTCCCTTTTCCTTGTTTCTCTATCCTTATCCCTTGACCTAGACCGTCTCCTTTTCCTGTCCCTATCAGTCCTATCGCGTTCCCTATCCCTATCCTTATCCCTCGACCGCACACTTTCCAAATCATCCACATCTTCTTTGACTTTGTCCTTGCTTCTGCGCCGTTTGTCTCTTCTAGGCGAACGCGACCTGGAACGCCTTCTGCGTTCTCTGGACCGTGAACGTCTTCGTTCGAAGTTTCTTTCGGGTCTTTCGTTTCTTTCTCTACCTCCCGTTATACCGCGTTCTTCTCTTTCCCGCTCTAACCTATACCTTTCACGTTCGCGTTCGTTATCTTCTCTTCCTGAATGTTTGATGTTCACGTCAGCTCCGCCTCTTCTCGTACCACCTAGACCACCACCTAGAAAAAGTCAATAGCTTTAGTTTATTTTTTATTGGAATTATTGTTTAAAAACTTACCTAGCCTACGTGGCAACCACCCCTTAACAGTTCTAGCCCTTTCCACGTCTACAAGTACCCTTTTGCCGTCAATTTTCTTACCGTCAGCGTGTTTGTATGCAGCTGGAAAGGTAATTTGAGATTTGATAATTTGCGATATTCATCAACATGCGGAAAAATTAAATCAACATCTGAGATGTTGAATAATCATTCAATATGAACAGTGTGTTTTGCTGTACAGTCTAGTTCAGATTACAAATCAATAATTATGATGTGAATCATGCTCATGTCCAAGTAAAGGCGAGTAGTTTCGCATTGATTGGGGGTTTTGAATGTGTTACATCATGTCAGGGTGTTACAGATGTTGGAATATTCACGCTGAGATCAATAAATATTGGTACAAAAGGAGAACCATTGAAACAAGAAAAATTGTTCACAAGAACTTCCTTGACAAGCGTTTGCAAATAGTAATTTAGGACAAGGGAGAAGAATTATTGATTGATTGGCAATTTATTTATCTGTCTATTGGCGATTCTGTTTTGGATAGGTCAATGACAAGAAATGTCCATTAATTGGTCATATGGACTGATCAATAATGTTACCATTACATTATTTTCCAGTAATCAGGATTCATGTGTATGAAATGCATTTTTGTAATCTGAACTGACTTTGCAAGAAACATCATTTAGGTACTTCAAATAAAAGTGATTGAACTTCTTCCTGAAAATTATTGGGATTTCCTTCCAAAACAAATTTTTTTTTAAAAAAAAATGGTAATGTTTCTATGCTAATATTATGGGTAAGAAAATTATACAGGCACGAATGCATGGGTATTTTTCTATTGGTATAAGATTCCCTACAACCCAACCCCTAGTGCCATTGTCTCGTCTTATATGGGCGCCCAATCATTCAAAATTTATTGTTCCATATTATTTTACCCTATCATTGATTTTCTTCTGCAGGTGCAATAGGAAAACAATAGTTTCAGAGTATTTTGATACAGTGAAGCTCCCCTAACCTGGATTTTTCATTAAACTGCTAAAATACATTGTTAACAAGACAATGTTCTTATAAAACAATGAAGTGTATTCTGATTCTGATGTCAAACATTCAGATTTCTGAGCCAACATTAATTTCTTTCCCATGCTTCTAACTTATCCAGCTGCATTGAAGCCTGAATGAAGGCTGAGGATGAACTTGTCTTGTAGATGATTTTTACAATGATTTTGTGAAAGCATTTGATACAGAATACTGTTCAAATTAGGAGCCAATTCTTGCTGGGTTCAAACTATCCATCTACCAACCAATGAACTCCGTTCTACTGTTATCTATCCATCAATTTCTGACCTTCATGGTACAATTCCCATTGAGGAAAAGTGGGAGTTTGTTTCACATGGAAACAGTGAAAAGAAGGAAATTTTTTGAGATACATACCTGGATTTTTTCCCATAATCTCAGAATAAATTCCCTAGAAGACTCTCACATTTTAATTTTTTTCTAGAGAACTAATAACAAGCAAAACTCAGGGATTATTTAATTGATCCAGATTAGATGAGCTTTACTGTAAATGATCAAAGAATTTCCATAGCTCTGAGCATCTGGTTCCATAAACCAACAAATCTATGATTTCAAAAAAATGTAAATCGTCTCTCTCGAGGCCCACCCCCAAATCAATTCATAGTAACACTACCACTAAGATTTGAATTATCGTTTCATTAAGAAAATAGGTATAAAAAAAAATATACCTACCGAATTTACTTACGTCGGAACGAACAACAAACGTCATTATATAAAAGGACAACATTTTGAGTGTATATTCGAGTTGTGCTTTAAATTCCAGAAGCTCCTGATTTATAGTGATTTACCTGGTGCGCAATTACTTACTGAAGCGCAAACCCAGAGACTACGTTCATTAAATTTTATAAACAAAAAAATAAACGAAATAGAATACAGATTTACATAAAATAATATAAAAAAACTCTTCATAATTATTATTATTATTAGAAATTGAATCCGATGATTATTTTAAATTAAAATGTCTTAGTAGTAGTTTCAATTATTGCTTAAAGCTTAGTTATACTTTAACTGAGTGTTATGAATTTAAGAAAAAAATTATTATGTACTAAAAATTTTCCCATTATTACCCCTTGCAATATTATTAGTTGTATGCAGGGCTCTTACCACACATACAAACCTATATAGCCAGCAAAAAGCAGATCGGCATTTTGGTACTAGCTGCCTGAAGCTTGAACTGTATAAAAATAGAAAAAATATTAAATTGTAACAATTATACGGATCGATATTGTATTTTAGGCGATTGAAAAAATTCAGCTACAATTGCTGGCTACATAAAAGAGATGTCATAATCCAGGAGGGCTGAGTGATTGTACTACTAAGTGTGAAATTTGTATATTACAACCATCAAAGCAAAGAAAAAATTGCTATACAAATTTCATACTTAATAAATTGTTACAACGTTCAGGAATTAATACTCACAATGCATGTCTCTCTCATGTTCATATTCAATAAAAGCATACCCCCTTGGTTTACCATTAACATTGTTGTGGATGAGCACAATCTAAACAAAACAAAAATTAATTAAATTATAATTATTCGAAATAAAATCTTACCTTTTTGATTGGCCCGTAAACTTCAAACTCTCTTCTAAGTTTTGATTCAGAAGTATCATAATTCTGAAAATCAAAAAAATAATCAATCAGATTGTGTACAAGACAGACGTGTTTTTGAGTCGCTTAGATTTTTAATCGATATTGGATATCAGCTATACATATACAGGGTGTCCATTAAATACTCCGGTGTTCCATTGCGGCTACGTCGTTGAGCGGATGAAAAATTTAATAGTGGGATTTTAATGAGGTTATAGAGGCTATATTTCAAAATTAGTTAAGCTTATACAGGGTGTCCCAAGAAAGCATGGCACATATTTTGATTTTTTTTTTCATATGGAATGTCCTATATTTTTTCACCGAAATAGGAGCCTCATCGTCATTGGACTTTCTTTTCAGCCCCAAATATTTGTTGCCCTCAAATGCGACGTTGCCAAGTTAATAATATTTTGGAGAAATTTTCACCGAAATCAGTATACCACTTAAATTTTAATATCTACACCACATGCATGACATGCTTTTTATTGGATTGGTTTTTTAGAAGTTGGATTCAGGTCAATAAAACAGTGTTGCAGATGAAAAATATGTATTTGTCGACGTTTCGACCCAAACTAGGTTATCCTCAGGGCATAAAAAATTATTTTTATTTATTTATACAATTTTTATCATTTCAAATACTATTATTTTTTATTATCCAATAGTTTTAAATTAAACAGAATCACAACGGACCCTGGAATAGGCCTTGAACTTGAATCAAAAAAATTCCAGGTATGGGATCGATGGGGACTTTTCAACATTCATTTATAATGGTCTTCCGAAGATTCATACCAATTTTTTTCAGCTCTATAGGAGTTTTTGTAACTTCACTACTATTTTTAGTTGTATTTTGACCGGATTATTGGAGATTTTTATAATAATTATTAATGTTATCATTATTATTATTGGGTATATTAATTATTTATGAACAGAAAGAGGCTCAGAAAGAGGACAAAAGAGAAATGAGCTGAGCATAGTAGGTTTATACGTACCTACTCCGTGAAAAAAATGTTTTGTTTGCGTAAGCGTCATAATGGAAAAATGAACAATTCTTAGTTTAACATCAATTTTTGAGAAAACGGTTGGAGATAAAAAATATTGGTATCAAATTAAAGATAAATAAACACTTTAACGGAAAACGTCACTAGATATAGGGTGTCCCATTTAAAAAATTAGCGTAAAGCACAATGGTAAATCTCAATATTTGAATAACGATTTTGACCACCCTGTATAAAAAAAACCCAAATCTTAGACTATTGCGAGATAAAATGATCCCAGTTAAGTACTTCCATACATTTTTACAAAAAAAAAAAGGGTGGTGTGGATATTAAAATTTAGGTGGTATACTGATTTTGGTGAAAATTTCTCAAAAATATTGATAAAAAACAAAATATGTGCCATGCTTTCTTGGGACACCCTGTATAAGTTTAACTAATTTTGAAATGTAGCCCCAATAACCTCATTAACATCTCAGCTATTAAATTTTTTATCCGCTCAACGACGTAGCTGCAATCGAACACCGGAGTATTAAATGGACACCCTGTATAAGGAACCAGAAACTGATCAAATTACTGTGAAATAGGAAAAGAAGGCATATTTTTCGAATTTTTACTTTTCCAGTCGAGTTTCCAGTCGATAGAGCGGGTCTAATTTAGTCAAAAAACCATTTTAAATTATCTTCAAATGCTTTGGAATTGGTGTGACAGTACGAGTGACAGTGATCGTCTGGTCTTTAATGTATCAAAAACAAATATTCTGAGTTTCAAATGCTCTTTGGTGAACAAAGTATTGGATAGAGCGACCACAGAGGAGAAAGATAGTGTAAAGTTCCTTGGCATTGATATTGACAGTAAAGCTCAATTATTGATTGAATAAAGAAAACACAAGATGGAAATTCATATTTTTCAGACATAAAGGCCCTTTTACAGCTTGCAATTCTATCTGCAATATGCAAGAAACTTGAACGAGGGCATGCGCAGAAGTGAGTCAGCTGATTGGTTTCTGCAAGATTCTTGAAACTTGAATGGCATTGCATGCAATCGGTTTGGTGCCATTTTTCTTGAAGGTTTTCGTGCAAGCTGGGGAATTTTCAGCATTTATGATGCTTAAAGCTGCTGCTATTCCTTTCTTCTATTTATATCGACTTATAATCACTTTTTTTATTTTTGGAAAATGCAAACATCAATAACACAACATTAAGTAAAGTGCAAGAAATCTTGAATGCAATTTTTTTGCATGCAAAAAATTGCATTCAAGTTTTCTTGCAAGCTGTAAAACGGCCTTAAAGGAAAGTTGACATGGAATTGCACAAGGCAGTATATTAGGACCAGTCCCGTTTATGATATACCCAAATGACATTTATTCCATTGCAGATTTAAACAGAGAAAGTATTGTGTGTTATTGCAAAAGATACAAACCCACTTGTGAAGGGGAAAGATGTTATTGATTTATTTAACAATGCCAACATATTATTTAAGAAAACAGATAGCTGGTTTAAACAGAAATGCCTTTATGTTTAAAACAAAGCAGTCCAACCTAAATAAACCAGCAACTGTAGAATGTAGTGACAAGGCTGTAAATATTGTGGATTAAATATTCATGAATTTGAGGATTGGTTAGGGCCTCAGTTAGGGCATATAAACACCCTATTGAAGAGATTAATGGCTGTTTGTACCGACCATTTTAAGGAAGCCTTAGCGATAAGTATCCCTTAAAGTAACATTTCTCCATGTAAAAATGTAATTTTTAGGAAAACTTAACGCTAAGGCTTCCTTAAAATGGTCGGTGCAAACGGCCATAAGTTCTGTATTTTATGGAATAAGAGTTATTATGAAAACATTCCTCCTAAAGTATGGAATTATTTTCTAGGAAGGGAATAGTGATATACAAATAAAGTTACAGTGTATGGTATAGGTAAGCAATGTAACTCTTATTTTCTTTTTTTTAAATCATGAGTCTTTTGAACTGTAGATAACCAATAGCTACAACACATCTCTTTATTAATATTGAAGTGTTACTACGTAATTTTATGTTCTCTGTGATTGTTTATTTTTTCTTTAGGGTTCAAGGTACAGTATAAGGCCCTCAATTTAGCCATAGTAGATATTTGGATATCAGTAAGTACTCTTGTATTGTAAGTTCTTGTTAAAGGAGTGTGCAGGGGTATAAATAAATTATCAATGTCTTTTTTCTTGGTTTGATTGATGATTCAACTTACTATTCTGGCAACGAAAAGTGTTTTAAAAGGATCCGTGGTGATATTGGCAGCATTGGCCGGATCCCAAACTGCAATTTGCTGCTCTAACTTATAGGCAACTTGTTCTGCCCTTTCTCTTCTTCGTCGATCAAGTCTTTCTTCCCTGGTTTCCACCCTGGTAGGTGGAGGAGTATCTTTAGGGTCCTATTAGCAAATATATTATGAAATGTGGCTTTTCAATTAGTGAAACAGACTTACCTCGAATCCATGAAGAAAATTTCCTACTCCAAGGTAGCCGCGATTTTTTTTTTCGTGTGGTAGCTTAGCCACAGGAGGTAAATAGGGGATAGGATCTCTTGGGGCAAACAACGCCAAAAGATTCGGAGGTAGAAACTGTGTCATATTTTTTTACCAACCGGACACTTTTCTACATAGGCTTATTATCTTACCGTGGATTTGAGTAACTTACATTTACGTGTTTAACCTAATTATTGGTGGAATTACCTTTTTAATTGCGACAAAGCAAGGGAAATCCAAAAAAAAACTAACAACAAACCCAATGGGCACTTACTAACCAAACCATCCAAGAATGAAAATGGCGTTTGCACTTTGCGAGCAAAGGAAACATGGTCAATTTTTGACAGCTGTCATAGAACGTGTCAAAACTTGTATAAGAAGTACATTCGATAACATACCCACATGTGACACCAAGAGTAGAGTAGTGTAGGTAGAGTGAATCGTGGACTGAAAATCAAAATTAAGAATTAAAATAGATTTCAATGTATGTGGTTATTTGTTCATTGTCTTCTCACTAGATGGCAGCGTCTATGACCCAGTCCGGGAATCAGCTCCAAGTGCATACCTTGCGTTCGGTATTTTGATTTGAGCTCTCCGAATATGAATTTACCGTTCGTTTATTTGAAGAGTGTACTTGGTGCAGGCTCATCCGCGTTCGTTTATTAAAATTTTTGGCACTCTGATACAGCGTTCAACTGCTCTGTTCGCTCGCTGGTCACGTGATTACGGCTCCGCTCAGCGCACGAGCGCCCTTGTTCCGAACAGTAAAATATATTCCGAGTGACCTGATATTGGTTTATCATTTGATTTGAGGTGAACAGATTTGACGTACGCACTGTGCCGAGTTCACAAATAACGCACAGGGTGCGAGTGCGATTTTATGGGTGTGCCTGAATTAACAATTGGCCATTGGGCCCATAGCACCGTTTAGCATTTTTCAACAGCTAAATAGAGCGTCGCACCGGTGTCACACTCACGCTGGGTGTGTCATTCCTGAACTCGCTCCTGTATATTCCGTTCAATTTTTTTTTGCATCTACCTCCTCAAAAAATTCAACTCTAGAGAAGGGTTTATCATATTCATCGATATCGATACGATATTCTTCCAAAGTGTCTATTGGATTTTTTTCAATTTCCATATTAGTTGAGAAAATATCCATACTTTCGAAACGATAAGTCTGTTCGAAACACTGCAAAAACCGTCCCATGCAGCGTTGCCAGACTCTAAATATGGAAGTGTGGTACACAATGCTCAAAAACTGTCGTACAGGGACGTACGCGCCAAGAATACTTGTGGTACACATTACCTTACATAATACATTTTTAGTATATACATTTACTAGAAAAAATATGTTTTTTCTTGAGAGCGCAAAATCTTGAAAACTTGAAAATAGTCCTTGCATTAAAAAATACAGCAACAGGAGTAAAGGGAAATCAAATAGAACTATTTATTAAATTTATTAAGGTACTTTGTGGGTACTTAGGATGGTACTTAGTCAAATTTAAATAAATTCTTTTGTAACGTTGATGCTGGATTATGTGATGTATCAATTGTGTCATACTACCCTAACTCCCCCACCATCAAATTCTGGGATACTGGAAGATCAAGAACAATTTATTTCTTCTGTGAGAACGAACCCGAAATCACCTTTTCTACATTTATAATTGAAAACAAAATTAAATCACTAGCACAGCTTGAATCGCAAGCATTCCATCGAGGTCTGCGGGCGACGTCATCACTATAAGCTGCTGATAGTGACGTCACTCGCAGGCCCAGAATTTGATAGCTACCTCGCCATTAGGGGAATGTGACACAATTGACACATCACATAACCCAGCATATTCACATGCAAGGTTGTCAAGGTGCAAGGTGGTCAAGCAAGGTACCCAAGCAAGGTACCCAAGCTCAATTTGGCCAACACATAAAATAAAAAAAGGAGAATTTAGAAATGTGCTACATATTACCATAAAATATTACCAAACCAACTTAATATTTCAAAACTGTGGTACATTACCGTACTACCGTACGCATTGATTTTCTTGTAACAAAGATGCCCTAAATTGTCGTACAAATACCACACCTGTCGTACGTCTGGCAACGCTGGTCCCATGAATGGTTTGGAAACCACTCTGTATACAAATTTCGGATTTTACGCACAAATAGGCTTTGCGCAGAATCGTGACGGTACATTATACGGTTACCTGCTGTGTTGAAACAAAGCTATTATTTCATTTATTTCTGATTTTTTATTTAGAATGTCTGCATTTAGAAATAATTTAAAAGCCCATTCTTTCATGTCCACTGCTCGCAAGGATAATACTCGCTATCAATACAGGATAGCTTATCCTCATAAGGCCTGTGTAGAGCCCAGATGACGTCATATTAGGCAACCTACCTCTCTCAAACAACCTTGCCCCCTACCATGCCAAATCACCAGTCATGACGTAGCAGCATGTCGTCTCTCGCCCGTGTGTTTGCACCACAGGTTATGATTCCGCGGGCTTTTGCTTCATGCATACTTGGTTTTATTACATTAATTACCTTTCTAAAACAACTCTTCTTTAGAACTCGTTTGCATCTTCCTGTATGCACAATCTGGATCTGCCGATTTTGATGTTAGGCACCCCTCGCGGTAAATAGGTAACGACTTAGTTAATGACGACAGCAATGGTGCTATACCATAGGTTTCGTGCCGAATATAGGTATTTGATGAACGTAAATAAACGTCTTTATAATAGTTATTTACCTAACAAATGCGGAAAGTGATACTTTACCGCACGCAACGGCAGTTGACCGAACGACGCGAAGCGGAGTTCGGTCAAGCCGTTAAGGGCGGTAAAGGCACTTTCCGCATGTGTTGGGTACAAAATTTTACCTATGAGCATCTACATCTCCAAAAAAAGGCATTGATAAAATTAATTAATGAATCAGATTAATTAATGAAATTAGATAAGATTTAGAAATGATCAAAAATCCATTTACTGAAAAAGAGAGGAATTTTTGATTATAAATATCAAATTCTACTTTACCGCACACTATGTGGCCGATAAGCAATCCTCATCCAAACATCAAACATCCACGACAAACCAGACGCCGAGTTCGGAAAATAGCTCAAGGAGCATAATGTATTAATAATTTGCACTAATTTGTTCAGGGGGTAAACCACCTAAGAATTATTGTCACAGCCTGGGGAAATATATACGGTAATACGGGGAAATACAGAAAAATATTAGGTATTATTGTGGGGAAATATAAGGAATAATACATCGCATTATAGATTTCCTGAAGCCGATCCTGTTCTTGTTTTTCTTTCTGTTTTCGATCTCCTTGTTGTTGCGAAAATACTGCAAGACGCTCCTATCCTTTCTGTCTTCTTCTCCTGTCCTTTCTGTCTTCTTCTTCTTGTTTTTTGTTTTTCTGTCTTTCTTTGGGCTTCTTATTGTTGTAAAAGTGCTGGAGCTGGTCTTGTTCCTATTACTTTTCTTTCCGTCTTTGGACTTCTTCTTCTAGTCTTTCTTTTATTCTTCTTGTCTCTTTGTCGTTCAAACTTTTCATGAAGTCCACCAAGATTTGATTAACTTGCTCCATTTCGGATGCTGTCGGTTTGCTGTCGTATCTTCACCATAGAATACCTTGAACAAAATACTGTGGACTTGTTTTTTGATATCGAAATTGACCTGTCTCGCATAAATAGAAAAAGAGAGCCTAATTGTAATAAATACAAGTTGGAAAGTAATAAAAGATGACATGCGCGCGCAACTTGTAGGTGCAGTGTAGCCAGATTGTATTGTTGCAGAACAAATGTAGACAATACAAATCGAACATTATAACATTAAATAAGTGATATAGTGTCAAGTGTTTTACAACGCCTTAAATCAGACAAAAGAAGCGCTTAAAAAGTGTATGACAACATCGTTTGCACTTTTATTTTGATAAATGTTTCATCCGGCAACACCGCACGATGAAATTGCAAAGGAATATGTCAAGTATATTCTATAAGATAATCTTAAACGACACAGCGGTGAGTTCAAGTATTATGTAAAGTATTAGTTTGCTCTTTGTCGAATTACATGGTACAAAGAAAGAAGGAACGATTCATTCTGAACTGGCCCTTGAATAAGAATATGACACAAGCCTGTAACAAACTTGCTTCTCATTGGACGCTCACCTGCAGCCTACAAGCGACGCGCGCAGTCCAGGTAATAGGAGATCGGTCTATTAGTGATGAAGTCACTATTCTTGTCAACTCATGGTTTTCAAATAGAATTCCATAGAAGTTTCTAGAATCTTCAAGAAAATCCGCTTCTGAGTTAGTTTTTCGATGTCGAAGCAACTATTGAAAAAATTCTGACGGGACAACAATTAATAAACGCACTTGTAAATAACTATTTTTTTTTTAGTTCAATAGTTATTACAATCGTCAGGTCAATGAATTACTTATAATTTTATAATTTGATCCCGACGGAAAAATTCCTGTCGTTATTATTCCTAGATTTTCTAGACAAATAATTCATGCGACTGACTAAACTACACTCGCTGGACTATCCGTCCGAGCACATCTCACAACGGCCCCACTGCAACATGACAATACGTTGGAAAAGGTTACTCGAGGTCACGCAGCGCTTGCACTAACCACTTGTTTTTATACGTGTACATATCAATAGAAACCTTTAGGCAGGCCAATCAAAGAATACGATACAATTTTGGAAGATTATAGATAATAATTTTAAAACAGATAAGGCTAAGTTTATTCATCTCCAGATAAAGTTACTGATAACAGTGATAACTGTCTGCAAAATAAATTTACCAACCTATAATCCCATCGATCAGCGGATAACTGGCCGACCAATACGAAAAAAGATTAGGTTTTTGTGCGTCAGATTGCATACCTGGCAGTTCATGAAATGGTGAATAAACTAGGCCTTATACGAAGACAAGTTTGGAAATATAATATTTCACGTTACAAACGTTACTGACATACGGATAAAAAAAAATATATTGGAATTTGAGGGAGAGCGAAAAAGTTTATACAGAATTCTAAAATCTTTAGGGGATACAAATTGAAGACAGTTAGTTAACAGACGCAACATTTTATATGAACACGTCAAGCAAGAACATGTTTTTGGTGCGTAAGTTACCTACTTTTTTTAGAGAAATATTTCCAATACGAAAATTCAGGTTAAAATATCAAAATATCTAGATGAAACCTGGATTAATTTACTTAAATTGATCTCAGATTCATCCATGGATGAGTATATATTTGGAACCAGCTTTGAAAGGCGAAAGGCTAATAATCCAATAGGTCAATAATATATACGGGGTGCTCCATTAAAAAAAATTATAACTTTGCTTTGCCACACTTTTGTGACACACCTTGTATACTTGTAACTAACTTCCTTGAAAATTTTCTGATACTACTCACAACTTTCACATGTGACATTTCTGGATATCATTTCAAAGAGGTGAGATAGGTGTGGGTGCAAAATATCATCCGGTAGGTATATCCTGTTCACAATCCGATGTCCACAGGTGCAGGTAAATGTATCACCTTTCCCTATCAAATAGCATTGAAAGGTGATTTTACCTGTACCTACCTGTGGACATCGGATTGTGAACGGATAATACTACACATATTTAGTTATGTAGGTAAACGCTAATCCAACGTCTTTTAAACGTTCGCCTCGAAACGTTTTTATGACATTTTTCTAAGACATTCTGAAGACGTCTTCAACACGTGCTTGAATCTCTTTTTAATGCATAAACCATAATTTGTTTTTATAGGTCCGGTTGTACCAAATAGTGTTCAGCTCAGTTGTCTTTATTTACGACATCTTATGCTTATGAACGTCTTTAAGACGTCTTTTTTTTTGTCTTCAGACGTTTAGACGCAATGCAGACGTAAAGAAGACGTCTCTGAGACTTTCTGTGCTGTGTGGGTCAAGATAAATTTCTCCAATACTAAAATGGGGTGCGAATTCGCAAAGGCAATCTCAACTGTGAACTGTCCAGAAGAATAAATAACTCTAGGATGAGCAGTGTCAGGTAGTTACCATGCAGTAATATGTGGTATGACAGAGATAGGACGGAATGAGTTCAGTTTAGCTTGAAATATATATTTGAAACTATATTTCGTTTATTCCAAATGTCCGAACCTTACATGGCACTGCGGACAGAATAAGTTGTGAAGAAGATTTTTTTACAAAATACGTGAGTATTTCGTCGCAAAGAAAGTTAAGTCAAATTCGTTCTTAGGCCCCAAGTTTTCTAATTAAAACAAGATGGAAACTTTACGACAACCCAAAGAAATTCCCCTTGAGGGTGATATCCCCACAAATTTTTGAAAAATGGAAACAGCAATTCACCGTTTTTATGGATGCCTCTGGTTTGAAAGATAATACAAAAGGTAAGAGCTGAAAGGAAAGCTGCTATTTTGTTACATACAATTGGAGCTGAAGTAGTTGAAGTACTAGAAATCTATGACACACTAGAGATACCTGATGAAAAGAGAGACTGGCAAAAATTATTACATCATTTTGAAGTACATTTCAAACCAAAAGAAAATGAGACTGTTAATCGACACCTCATACTAGAAAGCAGTTACAAGGTGAAAGTGTTGATATGTTTGTGACTGACTTAAGAAAACTAAGTCAAAATTGTAATTTCGGAGATCTGCGAGATAATTTGGTTAGATATAGGATTGTATGTGAAATAGAGGACACTAAAGTAAGAGATAGGTTGCTAAGATTAGATTTGACAAAATGTGTGAGTATCTGTAGAGCGTCGGAGTTAGCTGACCTTCAATCAAAAAAGCTAGAAATTGAGACAAATGTTAATATTGTGAAGAAAGCACGAAAATCAGGTCAATACAGAGAGTTTACTTCACAAAAAGATCAATATGAAGTCCGAAATCAAAGTGGAAATAGCTTTAAAACAAACTCAGAAAATAGAGTTGATAAAAAACAGTGTGGCAATTGTGGATATAGAAGACAATGTAAAGCATGTAACAAGTTTGGTCATTTTCAAAAGTACTGCCGTGAAAAAGAAACGTAACTCGAAATGTATTTTCAGTAGAAGCTGATGATGAAGAGCAGGAAATGTTTATAGGCACAGTTCAGAAAGTAGGACAAGTAGGTTTAGTTGGCTGGATGCAAAAAGTAATAGTCGTAGGAAATTTGTTTCAAAATGGACACTGGAGCTGATGTTAATGTTTTGAACTCGAGACCTGCTAAAGAACTTATTGCTGAAGTTCAGTCATCCAGTACAAAGCTATTGAACTATGAAGGCTCTTCAATGAGTGTTTATGGACAAACTTCACTTAGGTACCTGTGAAACTAATAATAAAAAACACAATGTAGTGTTCATTGTAGTCAACTTTAATGCTCCATGCATAATTGGTCTTCCATTTATTGAGATGTTTAATCTGTTAAAGAGAGTAGGATTGGTAGAACAGGAAGACAAATATGTGATCAATAGTCTAGTTAAAAAAATGCGACCATATTTTTCAAGGCATTGGTGAATTGACAAATTCATATAAAATTCAGTTGAAGAATAAGGTAGAGCCAGTTGTAGAACCTTCAAGAAAAATTGCAATCAGCCTTCAGCAGTCAGTTAAAAGTGAGTTAGATAACATGAGCGTTTTGAGAAAAGTGACTGAACCAACTGAGCGGTGCAGTTCTATGGTCATTGTAAAAAAGCCAGACAATATAGTCTTCGAATTTGTTTAGACCCACAAAATCAGAATAAAGCCATAGTACGTGAGTGGTATCAGCTTCCAACTTTTGAGGAAATTGCATCAAAGATGGAAGGGGCAAATATTTTTTCAATACTGGATGGCAATAAGGGCTTTCATCAGATCAAGTTGCATGAAGAAAGTGAAATACTTACAACATTTAATGCTGGGTGTTATGGGCGATATTGTTATAGGAGAATGCCTTATGGACTATGCTCTGCACCGGAAGTTTTTCATCGTACATTCAAGAATATTTTTGATGGACTTTCAGGAGTGGAAATTTGCATAGATGATGTTATTTATAGTCTGGGCAGCGAATAAAGAAGAACACGCCAAAAGACTGGAAGCAGTGTTAGATAGAGCTAAACGTGCCAATGTTCGTTTCAATCGACTCAAGTGCAAATTCGGGTTAAGTGAAGTACGTTATATAGGTCATATGTTTACAAAAAATGGTTTACGTCCTGATAAACACAAGGTGAGTGCTATTTTGCAATTAAACAATCCAAAAAACAAAAAAGAACTACAGATTTTGCTAGGAATGGTTACCTATATATCTAAGATTTTGCCCAATTTGGCGGATGTTACCAGCTCGATTAGACAACTGCTTAAGAAAGATGTAGAGTTTATTTGGTCTGATAAAGAAACATCTGATTTTGAAAAACTAAAAAAAATGCTCACATGTGCACCCGTACTAAAATATTAGGATGTCAATACTGAGGTTGTTTTGTCAGTTGATAGCAGCAGCCAAGGCTTGGGAGCTGTGCTTTTACAGAATAATTTGCCTGTAGCCTATGCCTCTCGAGCATAGACTGCTACTCAGACGGCATGGGCTCAGATTGAAAAAGAATTATTGGCAATTCCACCATTATGTTTATGGAAAAGTAGTGGTGGTTGAAAGTGACCATAAGCCTTTGAAAAATATATTTAAAAAGTCATTGAATGACACACCGTTGAGATTGCAGAGGCTTAGGTTGCGCTTACAACCATATAATATTGTAGTTCGTTATAAACCTGGTAAAGATTTATTGTTGGCTGATGCCCTTTGAAACTATATTTCGTTTATTCCAAATGTCCGAACCTTACAGGCAGCATATGGAAAAATGTAAGATGCAAGGTAGTAGATCTTTCACCCACTGGACGGACGACTTAAAAATAATTTCTACGAACTGGATCGCAAATAGACCACATCAAAAAATTGAAATATTTCCGTTTTTGAGTTTGGATATGTCAAGTGGGCTTCTTGCACCAACATTTTGAGACTAACTTAACACAATTAAATATCAGTTGCATCAGCACTTAAAGCAGACTCAAAATATAACTGCATTTCAATGACCGCAATCAACTGGAACATTTTTGCTCGTATTGGAGAGGAAATGTGTATCCATGTCACAGAAACCTTTTGACTTGGGTATTAAGTTCATTTCAGAAGAAAAAATGATCACCCAGACTCACCTCACAAGACACACGGAACTCCAAAGTTCTAAAAATGCGTTCTAGAAATTGAAAATATATGGATTAACTTTCTGGTTCTCCCCACAAAGACTATTTCAAACCAATACTTCCTTCCAAAAACATCAATTTCATTGTTTTTCGTAATCCATAAAGATTCTTGCGTGACTTCTCCGTCAATAACGAAACCAGCTAGAAAAAAATCTCGCAACAATCTGAAATTTTTAAAAAGCATAAACGCCGCCGATTCGACTTCGGATAGTCACAGGACATAATCCCAAAAACAATGGTTCGTCAGAGGATGTCCGGTCGACGTACTCTCTCTGCTTGGTTCTTGCAGGAGATGGGGTTCTTCGGCAAAGCGCCCACGTGACCGTCGGATCGACCCGCGGGCTTTCTTCTTTCTTCATTGCGCGGTGAACGGCGCTGCCAGAGAGTACCCATAACCGGGTACCTTGTTTGATACTATCGCGATCGCGAATAGTAGTAGTAGTACTGTTACTTGAGCGAAATACATTTTATTGGACTTGTGTTGTGTGACGTTTTTTAAAGGGACTGTGACCTATTATTATTGTGAGTTTTTTTTTTGGTGGCTCAATTTGGATACCTTTAAGTTGGATTTTCTTTATTGAAAGAGGTGAGTGAATGTATCACGTAAGGTGAAGGGTCAGATTGAAGTTTAGTCGGTACCATCATATTAAATCAAGTTGATAGATGGAGCGCTGAAGAAGATACAAAGGTGAAGGGTCAGACTGAATTCAAGAGAATGAATTATTGTTGGTTCTTGGAGCGCTAAAGGTAAAGGAACCTTCACTGGACCACGAATTAGGTTTTTTGAAAAATACTTTTGGGTACCAAAAATGACAGACAAAAGGTCAAACTACTTTGTATAAAAGCCAAGGTTTTGTATCCGAACCCGACAAGTTTTGAGAGACAAATAAAACTTATTTTTCGGTTCGTGACTAATGTCGTTAATGGTTTATATTTAATTGCCAGTTATGTTTTAACTTTTTTGAAACTCGCTTTAGCAAACAGTTAATTAAATCTTAGAGTGTAATTATCAAGACGTGTTATTAAATTAATTAGGTATTATGAAGTCTTAAATATTTAATGCTTAAATTAAGTAGGTAATATGATGTACCTACCTATAAGGCTCGGTTTATTCATTTTCAGATAAACTAAATATCTGCTAGATAAATTTACCATATAGAGTTTCTTAAATGTATTATTAAAACTCAAAACCTATAAAACATGTCAAAAAATTATCGTAGAAAATATTCTAGGAACAACTTAAGGAGCATTTCAGAGGCTATGAAATTGAATTGTGGCTTTTTTAAGTACATTCACAGCGATAATTCAAGAGAGTTTTCTCGGCGCTTTTCTTCTGTTCTGTTTCCCAGAAAAATAAAATGGAATAGATGAAAACTTTTCCTTTTTTTTTTTCCTAGTTGTTTTCCTTTGAGAAAAATATTAGACAAATTTTTGATAAAAAATGTAAGAGTTATTTGACACAAAGGCTAAAATGTCCTACTTTTTTTCCAGAAACGGAAACGTCCTTGCACGTCTACCCTCTCTTTTGCCCTGCTTTCCAAGAAAATGATTATACATTTTTTTCTTCCAGTTACTTACCCTTCACTCGTTTACTACAATGTTCTTTTTCCAGTTATTCTTAGGCTTTTTTTGCTCCTTTTCTGTCTGCATATTGTCATTCTGCTGATGAAATAAGGGGCCAAACTGCTAAGACTTCCTATACTTAGCTGAGAAAAATCAAGAAAAACCAGACTGCAAGTGCCTAGAAAAGAAAGATCTGGAAATAACTTAAGGAGGCCTATCCTCAATAGTATATCCAGAAGGCTGGAGGATGATGAGGATGATACCAACCTAAACTAGGCACAATAAGAAAAAGCATACTTGCAATGTTCTTCTTCTGGAATAATCTTCTTCAAACAAGAACATTTTAGCTACAATATTGTCTTTTATGTCTGGAAAACACAAAAACAATTTTGCCTGGAAAAGTTATTGAGCATTTAGCTGTTCTTAATGGCCCAGTAGCACAGATTACCTACATACAGATGCGAAAGAGCGGCGAATTCATGGTTCAAGATTAATTTGATAGACATAGGCTGGCCGCATCAATGTATTTTGAACATATTTATTATATAAATGCGGAAGCTCAATAATATAATATTATTTCTTTAATTGGTTCACAAACAGCAAAAAAATATTCTTTTTTACCCGTAAAAATATGAGAACACACAGGCTGGAACATGCTCACGCACCCGGCCACGTTAATTATCCTGACGCGGGCGATGTGTATCTATGCGTCAAGGCGCTGGCTCCCCGGCTTCGTCACAGAATATCGTCGACGGCAAGTATACGTACTTACGCATCTGTATTAGGTGATCTGTGCCAGTAGGCTGAATTCACTTGAAACCACATTGTGTAGCTGACATCCAACAGCAAATTATAATTTAACCATTTCTCGCCGGAATTCGGTAGTGCCCCACTGCTACACTTACCCTAAATAGTCTAATCGTGTAGCAAATGGGATCCAGGACAACTATGGCATTAGGCTTCCCCAGGGGACACCAAATACCAAAAAGAAATAATCAAGCCATGAATTGTTGTCCTGGATATCAGCGAAACGCAATTTCGATTAGTAAAAAATAGTAATCATTTGAAGAGAAAGTTATTGAAAACATTTACAGCCAAATGCTCAAAGCTCAAAGTTCAATAGGTACCATATTTACCCAACCAAAAGTGGCTTACCAAAGTTCTGGTTCCTGTACCTACTTTCACACGTGAAAGACAAAAAACATAATTTAATTCTTCTGGATTGTTGATAAAAGCATACATGGATTGTGCCTGAAGGGCAGTTAAGATCATAGCTGTTGAAGTTAGAAAATTACCTTTTCAGAAACACCAGCGTCTGTTTCATAAAGCCTTTGTTGATCTGAATTCTCTGCTGTAAATACCTAGCAAGAGTTCTTAGTCATTGAAGGTGGTCATTTGTGCTGTATCCAGAGTAAAAACCAGCTGACAAAATCGGTCAAACATGTTAATTGTTAGTGCGGATGGTGCAGAAAACTGCGAAGACTCAATACTCAGCTGAAAAAAATCAAAGGCAAACCAGATCACAAGTGCATAGAAAAGGAAGATCTGGAAATAACTTGACGGGGCCTATCTTCAGCAGTAGACTCAGAAAGCTGTGTGATGATGATGATGATACCAACCTAAACTTGCAAATATTGTAAAAAAGAAGTGGTTAGTGTTGGTGCGAAATGTGTTAAGTGTGGAAAGGTATTCCATACATAATATGCTTTAAGGGTAGCCGGATTGCAGTTAAGCGTAGTTATTTGCTGAAATGTCGTGTGAAACAAGATGAGGTTATGTGTGAAAATACTTTTAGAAGCCAGAAATTAGATTATAAAAGGAAAAGATGAAATAATCCTTGAATTAAAAGGAAGTTCTTTTATACCGTAATATAAAGTTACTTGAAGAAAAAATACACAACTTGAATAGCGAAAACATTGTGCACAGGGGCGATGAATCCGTACCAACATATGCGTCCTCAGTAGCATTGGGTAGAAAAAATTGTAAAGAAACCGTTGCAAACAAAGTAGGTACCAAAGGGGCACAGTGGGTTGCAAGCTCCAAACATTACAAAACCAAACGAATGTTTGTGGAAATGAAAATAAGCCTACAAATCATAACATCAGGGTAAAAAATGCAAGCATGGAGGAGACATCAGCAGTGGCGTTAAACAGAGAAAATCGAATTAGGTACCCCACATTTGGTAAACACGGCTATCATGCGGACACAAACTTCAAATAAAATGCAAGAAATACATAGTCTTGGTCCCCAAGTCCCGGACGCTGGAGAAAGCAGTAAGGGATGGCAACAAATTAAACGAAGAACACGAATATTTGTTGTTGGACGAAATGAGGAAGGAAATGAAAGTATACATCACACATAAACCGGAACAGCTGAGAGCATACTTGGTAGCAAATTTACCGGAGTTCAGTGCGAAAAACATGAGTCTCGGTATCCCGAACTCTACACCTCAATGAAGGTAACTATAAGACAGGAGGACCTAAAAAATGCATGGAAACGTGATGTCTGGCCCAATGGTGCTGTGGTTTCAAAGTTTTTCACCAGGAGAAGGATGCTGCCACTTCAAGCAGATCTTCAGGCAATATTAATACAAATAAAAATGACACCCATCCCCCTAAAAAGAACCAAAGAAATAGATCAGACTTGAGAATTCACTATTAAAATGTTAGAGGCCTTCGAACAAAAGTAAATGATTTTTATACTAGCGTCTTGCCTGAGGATTATGACATAATAGTTAGGTATACCAGAGTCATGGCTCATGGATGGCATTGAAGATGCTGAAGTGTTTGATAACAGATACCGCATTATCAGAAAAGACAGGAATAATGGCAAATCAAGGGGTGGAGGTGTAGCAATCGCAATGGATAAAAGATATATTGTTGAAAACATACCTGTGATACTGAGTGCTTACTGGTTAGAGTAAAGTCTTATAAGAATATTTTTCACCTATATTCCGTCTATTTTTCTCCTAACACATGTATAGAAAATTATGTGCAATTTTTCAATGTTTTTGGAAATATTTTTGTCGGAGATTCTAATGTGCCTAAGTGCCTACCTATGTTGTTGGTGAGTGTGAAAAAAGTATTTTAATAAATAATTTTACATCCTTGTATAATCTTTTATTTATTAGCCAATTTTAACTACATGGAAAGAAAACTGGATTTAATGCTTTCTAATATTCACTCCATGGAGCTTGGAAAATGTGGCAGCCCTATGGTTATGGTACCCAAGAATTTGTATCATACCTCACTTGACATAACTGTTAGTCTTGCTCATACGGACAAGTCAAATAATCATATATGCCCCTCATATATTTATGAATACTCAAGAGTAACTTTGCCCTCTTGTACCAACTTTTAAAGGACACTGACTGGCTGGAATTGTGAAGCTGCAGTGATGTCAATATCTGTGTTGATATATTTTATGATAAGCTTTATGCTTGCATAAATCAAGCTATCCCAAGAAAAAAAAGTTACGAAAAACCAAATAAATCGCGGAAATATCCTGTTTTCTTTTCATTGGATCTTATTAAGAAAATTCAGCAAAAAATCGATTGCATAAAAAAATCAGAAATGGTAGAGCTAGTTCTAACATAATTGATAGTTGATAAAAGTTGAAGAAATAGTATCAAGCATAAAACCAAAGAAGATTTTAGATTGTATCACTAAAATGTTGAAAGCAATGACAAAGAGACCCTAGTAGCTTTTGGTGCTTTGTAAATTCTCGTAGGGAACGGAATGGTATACCATTGGAAATGCGTTATAAAGATCAAACAACTCTCAGGGTATGGCAGATGCCTTCGCACAGTTTTTCCGCTCTGTTTTCCAAAAATCTAGCTCATGTAACATAAATGAATATCAGAGAACTTTCCGTTTTTCATTTATCACAAAGGAAAGAGTCCTAACAAGTATAAATAGATTAAAGCCCAAAAAGGCTACTGGAAACGACAGTGTTCCAGCCTATATTTTCAACTTGTCCTTAAGTAAAAATGAATTTCGTCACCGCCTCAAAGAAGCTATCATT